CGTCACTGGTTGTATGTATAATACAAGTATTACATTGCCGTCACTGGTTGTATGTATAATACAATTATAACATTGTCGTCACTGGTTGTATGTATAATACAAGTATTACATTGTCGTCACTGGTTGTATGCTACTACTTTAAACATGTAGGAATGTTTTCTTGTCATAAGGTGTGTATTACTAGTATTACCTTGTGTTCAGTGGTAGTATGTTACATATGTATAAGTGTTACCGTAATGCTATTATTGTTACCATTGTTATAGCTATTGCTGTATATTGCAGGTTCTATGACTCCTGGGTGATGATCTCGATGAAATCCTGACAATCTTCCTATTCGTGATACTGAATAACATAGAGTGCTTAAACTTCTACAGATTTGTCTTGTCTTCACATATTTACTGTCCTCCGTTAAATTTGTCCGCTGTGTCTACTTTTGTTGGTTTATAATTTTCCTCTGGAAACGTGTAGCGTGCATTACCGTTAGAGATTATGTAATGTTTACTGTTTGAAGTCAACGATAACAAAGTTTTTTTTCTATTAGTACAACTTGCCATTGGAAGGCCATATCTGACACAAAGATTTCTGAGCGAGTGGGGGCTGGCTATTGTATAGCCATACTCGTACTAGTGACTTGCCAAATGTAACAAAATATACCAGATTTAAATGGAGTCATATTAAACTTTTGAAAAACAAACAAAGGAGGAGGATATCAATACCATTACAAACTGTTATGAGTTGAGGAATCTTTTAATCCCAAAACTGTTTTCAAAGCCGTATTGATTTCATTTGTGTTTTATCATGAGCTGCTATCGTTGGCCTTTTTGGAGTGTATGAATCACAATAGATTTGACGAATTACTATAAAGAAAACTGTCTGTAGCAAAATATTCTTTATATCGCAAAAAATGAATTGGAAATGTGTACATTATATCATTTACAAAAAATATATATTACTATAACTGACGATGGTTTGTAAAAAGTCCGTTGCGATGAACGGAGCATCGAGCGTGTCTTGTCACTGTAGATTGACTAATAGAAATGTCTTATGCAACCAATTAAAAGCCTTGACTAATGTTGTGGTGCTATAATTATCCATCACTGGCATGACTGAATAAGAAATATATGAGGGAATTTTAATTGGTTGGACTTAAGTTATATGAGGAGCGTTAACATCTGCACTATTACCTATCAATATCACCGGCAATATGCATTGGTTTAAGAAGGAAAACAGTCCTGTATGAATTGAAGTTGTCAGTGTACACTGCAGTACGAAGTTTATACCAAGAGGAAGCCTGCAATCCTAGTACCAATAAAGTACGTGACTTAAAACAAACAGGAAGTCACTTACAGTGGTACTATTGCTGTTGTCTGAAGAGAGCGCCCTCTGGCAGCAATCTATATAACACATCAGTAACAATGTTTAGCAACTACAACAATCAGGAACAATGACGTCATAATACTCGTGCAACAAGCCAATCACGATCCAGGATGTATCGCGTTGTTTACATGTACCAGTATTGATACTGGACTGGCGATATATAGTAATTGGACTTTACAGTGATGCTATATTTGATTTTTGAATCCGAAATACATTATTGTTTTTAATACTTAGGTACCATGAACAATGCCATCGAGGATTTTTTCTCCGGATTTTAACGTAAATAACCGTGATAAATATTAATTGTTTTGTAAATTGTTCTTGTTACATTATTTCACTGTTTTATTTTGTTTTTGTTATTGATTTCATTTCCAAAATTAAAGTTTAGACAAATAATAAATCCAGATATATTATTTTGCCTCAGTAAGTTGCTTTGTTCTAGATGCTAATTGAAAAAATACTCTGAAAGTTGTCTATGATGCTGTTTTTATCATAGCACTTTCAAAGGAAACTCTAACAGTGTTGTTTAAAGAAAATAGCGCCTGGGCTGTAAGGCGTTTCTTCAAACCAAACCACCTCTCCTTGTATGGTGTAATATTCGGACTATTGGATGGGCGGAATCCGAGCTGTTTCACCCTGTATGACGTAAGACTGCGACACGCCATTTGGTTGTAATACTGGCTTTGTTACAACTATAACGCTGTTTCTAGATATACTGAGAGTTCATGTAGTGTAAATGAGAAAGAAAGTTATGGATTATTGCAAATAAACTTCTAAATATAATAAGAGAAAAAGTGGTAAAACATTCTCTTTATATTATTTGAAACCGTTATACCAATACAAAAACCTCGCTCATTGGGCGTTTCATGAAACGTTTCCATTTCAGATATTTTTTCAAAAAACTTCATGGAACTTGTGTGTAAGTTGCATATTGAGTTTTTCTAAATCCTCTTTTTAAAACATCAAATAAATTGGTCTTTAAGTAATAGGGTCTGGGTCCTGGACTGTATCAATACATTCTTCAAGAATGCTGGATTGCGAACCTAACATCTATATTAAGTTAAATAAAGATTGATATTCTGAACGAAACACGTGTAAATCCGACACTAATCCGACCTCTATGACATTCACACTCTGTGTTCAAAAGCAAACTGTGGGATTAAGACCCGTATACATAATGTAACAGGCACTAAGTAGATATGAACTGTAGCAGCCGGTGCACCGATTTGACAACTCATCACACTGTATAACACACAATCAACAAAATGTTCTTGAAACTCCGAGATTACGCAGAAAATTCCCAATAGGAACAGAAGGAAAACTAAAACATAGGGACAAACGACGACAATTTATCAACAGGTAACACGAACCCTTCACCACCTAACACAAACCCACCAACACCTAACACAAACCCATCACCGCCTAACACAAACCCACCAACACCTAACACCAACCCATCACCACCTAACACAAACCCACCAACACCTAACACCAACCCATCACCACCTAACACAAACCCACCAACACCTAACACAAACCCATCAACCCCTAACACAAACCCTTCACCCCCTAACACAAACCCATCAACACCTACCCATCAACACCTAACACAAACACACCAACACCTAACACAAACCCATCAACACCCCAAACACAAACCCAACAACACCAAACACAAACCCATCAACAGGTAACACGAACCCATCACCACCTAACACAAACCCACCAACACCTAACACCAACCCATCACCACCTAACACAACCCCATCAACACCTAACACAAACCCAGCAACACCTAACACAAACCCATCAACACAAAACACAAACCAATCAACACCTTACACAAACCATAAACACCTAACACAAACCCATTTACACCTAACACAAACCCATCAACACCAAACACACACCTAACACAAACCCATCAACACCTACCACAAACTCATCAACACCTAACACAAACCCATCAACTCCTAACACAAACTCATCAACACCTAACACAAACCTTCACCCCCTAACACAAACCCACCAACACCTAACACCAACCCATCACCACCTAACACAACCCCATCAACACCTAACACAAACCCATCAGCACCAAACACAAACGCATCAACACCTAACACAAACCCATCAAAACCTAACACGACCCCTTCACCACCTAACACAAACCCATCAACAACTAACACAAACCCATCAACTTCAAACACAAACACACCAACACCTAGCACAAACCCATCAACACACCAAACACAGACCCATCGACACCTAACACAAACCCATCAACACCTAACCCAAACCCATCAACACCTAACACAAACCAATCGATATCAAACACAAACCTACCAACACCAAACACAAACCCATAAACACCTAACACAAACCCATCAACACCTAACCCAAACCCATCAACACCTAACACAAACCCAGCAACACCTAACACAAACCCATCAACACCAAACACACACCTAACACAAACCCATCAACACCTAACCCAAACCCATCAACACCTAACACAAACCCTTCACCACCTAACACAAACCCATCAACAACTAACACAAACCCATCAACTTCAAACACAAACACACCAACACCTAGCACAAACCCATCAACACCTAACACAAACACACCAACACCTAACACAAACCCATCAACCCCTAACACAAACCAATCGATATCAAACACAAACCCACCAACACCAAACACAAACCCATTAACACCAAACACAACCCCATCAACACCTAACACAAACCAATCAACACCAAACACAAACCCATCAACTTCAAACACAAACCCATCAACACACCAAACACAAACCCAACAACACCTAACACAACCCCATCAACACCTAACACAAACCCATCAGAACACCTAACACAAACCCATCAACAGGTAACACAAACCCTTCACCACCTAACACAGACCCATCAACACCTAACACAAACCCATAAACACACCAAACACAAACCCATCAACACCAGACACAAACCCATCAACACCTAACACAACCCAATCAACACCTAACACAAACCCATCAACCCCTAACACAAACCAATCGATATCAAACACAAACCTACCAACACCAAACACAAACCCATAAACACCTAACACAAACCCATCAACAACTAACACAAACCCATCAACTTCAAACACAAACACACCAACACCTAGCACAAACCCATCAACACACCAAACACAGACCCATCGACACCTAACACAAACCCATCAACACCTACCCATCAACACCTAACACAAACACACCAACACCTAACACAAACCCATCAACACACAAAACACAAACACATCAACACCTAACACAAACCAATCAACACCAAACACAAACCCATCAACACAAAACACAACTTCATCAACACCAAACACAAACTCATCAACACCAAACACAAACCCATCAACTTCAAACACAAACACACCAACACCTAGCACAAACCCATCAACACCTAACACAAACCCTTCACCACCTAACACAGACCCATCAACACCTAACACAAACCCATAAACACACCAAACACAAACCCATCAACACCAGACACAAACCCATCAACACCTAACACAAATCCATCAACACCAACACAAACCCATCAACACCTAACACAACCCTTCACCACCTAACACAAACCCATCAACACCTAACACAAACCCATCAACAGGTAACACGAACCCTTCACCACCTAACACAAACCCATCAACACCTAACACAAACCCATCAACACCTAACACAAACCCATCAACACCTAACACAAACCCATCGATATCAAACACAAACCCACCAACACCAAACACAAACCCATAAACACCTAACACAAACCCATCAACAACTAACACAAACCCATCAACTTCAAACACAAACACACCAACACCTAGCACAAACCCATCAACACACCAAACACAAACCCATCAACACCAAACAGAAACCCATCAACACCTAAACACAAACCAATCAACACCTAACACAAACTCATCAACACCTAACACAAACCCATAAACACCAAACAAAAACCCATCAACACCAAACACAAACCAATCAACACCAAACACAAACCAATCAACACCAAACACAAACCCATAAACACCAAACACAAACCCATCAACACAAAACTCAAACTCATCAACACCTAACACAAACTCAGCAGCAAACACAAAACTCAAACTCATCAACACCTAACACAAACCCATCCACAAACACAAAACACAAACTCATCAACATCAAACACAAACTCATCAACACCAAACACAAACTCATCAACACCAAACACAAACTCATCAACACCAAACACAAACCCATCAGCACCAAACACAAACTCATCAACACCAAACACAAACCCATCAACTTCAAACACAAACACACCAACACCTAGCACAAACACATCAACACACCAAACACAAACCCATCAACACAAAACTCAAACTCATCAACACCTAACACAAACCCATCAACACAAAACACAAACCCATCAACACAAAACACAAACTCATCAACACCTAACACAAACTCATCAACAAACACAAAACACAAACTCATCAACACCTAGCACAAACCCATCAACACCTAACACAAACCCATCAACACCTAACACAAACCCATCAGCACCAAACACAAACCCATCAACACCTAACACAAACCCATCA